TGGGAATATATGACGATGACACTCGAAAACATGGGATTCCCCCAACCCTTTATAACCAGCATTTTGGCGTTGTATAGCTGCCCTTCGGCAAAAATATATAACACCGGATTCCTCTCAAAAGCCTTTAATATACGCAATGGCACGCGCCAGGGGTGCCCACTCTCTCCACTCATCTTTATCTTGTGCTTAGAACCCCTGATCTATAACATAAAAAATAACCCCTCAATCCGAGGGCTCAACACCCCAACAGGGGAGCAAAAACTGGCCCTTTTTGCGGACGACATAATAGTATTTATGACAAATCCGATACAATCTATCCTGGCTCTCACTAGAACACTGAACTCATATGGGTCGGTATCATACTACAAAAATAATGCAGCCAAAACCCAAGCCCTCCCCATAGGCTTACCACATAATATAATTAAAACACTGAAGGAAACACATAACTTCGACTGGCGGTCGAAATCGATTCAATATTTGGGGATAAAACTGACAAAAAATGTGCACTCACTAACGTCGGAAAACCACACACCTATGATTCATAAACTAATGACCCAAATGAACAAGTGGGAAGGACTGGAGGTGTCATGGTTGGGGCGCATTAACACCATCAAAATGATGATCCTGCCACATGTGCTCTATCTCTTTCGCACACTTCCCATACCCCTGTCAGCCAAACTGCTAAAAAGGTTCCAAACCATAATCAACGCCCATGTATGGAAACGCAAACCACCCAGACTGGCTGCTGCCAAACTAAGCCTTCCATACACGAGAGGAGGATTGGGAGTACCAAACATCCGTAACTACTATAGAGCATCCCTTCTTGCACAAGGCCTACGTATAATCCGAACCACGGGCGCTGACCAAACTCCACTATGGCTAACCCTCGAAAACGCCTGCATACACCCAGCCACTATCCCAAATGCTCTCTGGCTCCACGAGCCTAAATCAGTGGGTAAAGAAGGACTATGGTGCACGCAAACAACACTACATACTTGGGAACGTTGGGGTCCAGAGGTAATAGACGCACAGACACTACATAAGGAAGCACCACTAACTGCAATGCAGACCAGCTCACCCGACCTCTCCCTCCTCACATGGTCAAACCTAGGAATACATAAAATAAAAGACTTATACACCCAAAACGAATTGAAAACATTCCCCACTCTGCAAAGAGAATTCTCCCTCAATCCAAGAGACATCTTTACATACCTAAGGGTTAAGAACATACTACAAACACACATTAAACCGGCAGCACCCACACCACCTTTAGCAATACCCTCAGCCCGTTATATACTGACATCCCGCTCCATCAAACCACTAGCCTTATGCTATAATGCACTAGAAAAGGGAAAATCCATGCATAAACACTCCTATATGGAAAAGTGGGAGGAAGACATAGGGGAGCCAATCACTATACAACAATGGCACGACGCCTTCCAAGCCACTAAACGAGCATCAAAAAGCCTATCTCTGTGGGAAGCATATAGCAAAATAGCAATGCGATGGTATCTAGTCCCCCTCAGACTGGCAAAGATATTCCCCAACACCTCACCACTATGCTGGAGATGTGAACAACAACAAGGGTCTCTACTGCATATTTTCTGGGAATGCCCAGTCATAAAACCATTTTGGATCACTATCCAAAAAGTCATAAGGGAAACTACTAACTTGTCAATTCCACTAAACCCAGCACACTACCTACTCCACATACTACCTACGACAAGCCCAACAAGAAACCCATTAAGCACAATCGCCATAATCATACTAACCACGGCCAAAGTCGCGATCGCATCAAAATGGAAACACAACGTGCCCCCAACTCAGGAGGAAGTAACACGCAGAGTAGACAGTATATGCATATATGAACAGATGGCACACAAAATACAGGGAACATCTGAGAAACACAACACCTACTGGAGAGGATGGCTGGACGCCCGGAAAGAGACGATACAGGTAGACAATCACTAACCTACATACAAAACTAAGACAGCTGAAATAAGGAGAAATTGCATAACACGGAGAGTGCAACTCACGGCAACTGACAAACAGACGGCCCTATAAGGACCCAAACACATACACTGCACGCACTCAGCTTCTAGGCCGGATGGGTTAGACGGACAGTCAAATTATAGGTACAGTTAAAGTTAAAGGTTATCCCTCCCCAACCCCTCACCCTATCCCCGGTTGCATGATATGACAGACACACCTAAAGTCACAGACTCAACAATAAAGAGGCACAGCAACCTCAAATTCTAAACAATAATCGCTCTCACCCAGCCCCTACGCAGACGACAACCACGAAATAAGCGCAACACGAGCGACATTAAGACATGATACACATAGGTTAGAAGGACTACCTTATAAAGCTGAAAATGTTATAAACGACAAAGATGACATTATTGCAACAATGTTTGATGTAAATGGTCTAGGTGCTGCTGCGCCAGCACAACATTATGTTTATCCCTATGTTTATCATTAATATTACTGTTATCATTACTGTCTGTATCAACATCAGCATTATGATTATGTATCAGAACCGGAAAACTCGATAAAACCAATAAAAATTATATATGGAAAATAAATAAATAATCCAGACACAATAACCACTACAGCTCAGTGTAGTGGTTATGGTGTCTATAGTGCCGGGACCCCCTCCCAAAGTAAGTAGTCAAACCGTTTAAAAACAGTTTGACAACTTACCTGAGGTCTGCTGGGAAATGGAGCAGTAGTAGTGCATAGGAGCAGTAATGTGTGTTAGTGGTGCAATGTGTAAGGGGTGCAGTGTGTGTGTGAGGGGGACAGTGTGTGAGCGTGTGTGAGAGCGGCAGTGTATGTCAGGGATGCAGTGTATGTGTGGGACAGTATGTGTGTGTAACAGTTGCAGTGTGTGTGTGTGAGTATTGCAGTGTATGTGTGAGTGTGGGCAATGTGTGTGTATGGGGGCAGTGTGTGTGTATGGGGGACAGTATGTGTGTATGGGGGCAGTGTGTGTGTATGAGGGGGCAGTATGGGGGCAGTGTGTGTGTATGGGGGCATACGGATCTATGGGGTCAGTGTGTGTGTATGGGGGCAGTGTGTGTATGGGGGCAGTGTATGTATGGGGGCAGTGTGTGTGTATGGGGGCAGTATGGGTGCAGTGTGTGTATGGGGGCAGTGTGGGTGTATGGGGGGCAGTGTGTGTGGGGGCAGTGTGAGTGTATGGGGGCAGTGTGGGTGTATGGGGGGCAGTATGGGTGTATGGGGCAGTGGGTGTATGGGGGGGCAGTATGGGGTATGGGGGTCAGTATGGGTGGATGGGGGCTGTGTGTGGGGCAGTGTGGGTGTATGGGGGCAGTGTGGGTGTATGGGGGGCAGTATGGGTGTATGGGGGCAGTGTGTGTGTATGGGGGCAGTATGGATGTATGGGGGGCAGTGTGTGTGTATGGGGGCAGTGTGTGTATGGGGGCAGTATGGGTGTATGGGGCAGTTTGTGTGTATGGGGGGCAGTGTGGGTGTATGGGGAAGTATGGGTGTATGGGGGCAGTATGGGTGTATGGGGGCAGTGTGGGTGTATGGGGGCAGTGTGGGTGTATGGGGCAGTATGGGTGTGTAGAGTGTGTGTGTGTGTGTGTGCGTGTGATATAAGGGTATGGGGTTGTCTTTTTTTTTTTTTTATATATATATATATTTTTTATTTTAATTTAAATAAATATTCTATGGGAAATGTCCCCCCTCCTCCCAGTAAAGGTAAGAAGGGAGGGGGGACATTTCCCTGGTGGTCCATTGGGATTCATTGGTGGCCCCAGTGGGGAGAGTAAACTCTAGCCCGTAGCTCCAGGGCTAGAGTTCACTCTCGCAAGATTTGTGGTAACCGCGACAACGCTCCAAATCCCGTGAGAGGAGGACCCGGAGGAGCTGCAGGCTGAGCTCCGGGTCCTCCCTCTCCCTCCCCCGCCGGCCGCCAGCAAAGTGCCTGCGGACCGGGGAGGGAGATCTCTGATCACTGATCTCTCTCCCCGGTCCGCAGGGCTGACAGAGGAGGGAGAGGGAGACCGTCGGTATTCTCGGGGGGGGGCAATTGCCCCGTTGCCCCCCCCCTGGATCCGCCACTGGTTTGAGGGTTATATATTGTATGATGTAAAAGCACTTTGAGTCCCACTGGGAGGAAGGCGTTATATAAATACTAGTTATATAGTTGTTGCTGTTGTTGTTGTTATTATTATTATTATGCTGTGCGTTGTGTATATGTAATAGAGAAATTCTTGTGGTTTTGCTACTTGTGGTGTTGTATGTGTGTTATTAGTGCTGTTGTGTTTGTGGGGGCTACCTGTGAATCTGTATGTGTGTGTCTTCAACACATGGTCCTAGACAAAGACAGGTACAAATAGAAATATATTCCAGCTGATTCTCATGGGCTGCACACACACGCAGACACAAATACATACTATCAGACATACACCCCAAAACAGACTACCAGACATATGCACACCCAATACACATAACCAGACACACACAAACAACTCAATAAACACTGTAAGATAGATTATTCCACTGTACAAAACATGGCACTCCTGCAAAGCACACTTCCAGGCACCATTCCAATGCACACCAGGGCACACAGTTACACATTTCCACATACACTGCTAGACTCACACACATTGCTACACACTGACGTACATAATCACACTGGGAAATACAAACTCCAAAACACACATTCTCACTGAGAAAAACACAATGACACTAAGCGCACATACTGTTGCACACACTACTACACCAACACATTGACAATGCTGGCATTTTAGCCACCCTCCTTTTTGCTTACCATTGAGCATCAAGAGTATTCTTTCCCTGGTGAATAGGGAGATGGGGAGAGCTAACCAGGTAAAAGACAAGGATAGGAGCTTCAAGGAACTGTTCTCCATCACAAGCACTTGAAGGAAGTGATCTGATATCACCAGTGCTTCCATTAGTGAATTGTGTCTGCTTCAGTTGGACATTAGTAGATATCTGAAGAAGTCGTAAAGGGATCTCTGCCAGGCCCGCTCTGAAGAGATGCTCAGATCTCCCAAGCTCTGTTACGTCAGGCAGATTTGCGTGCCATGCAAAGGTACCTAACATGCCATATGTTTCTGACGCCTCTACTAAAGCATTGTACAGTAGTTTTAACAGTCTATCACTTGTGACTTGACGGGGAGAAATAAGGCGCAGCTCCGCTACCCAAGATTTCAATGTAAGTGCCTTAGTCACACGGTGACCTAGCCTGTCTTAGTAGAACATATTATAGTGTCTGCTAGCCCATCAAACCAGAAATTACTATGGAATCACTTTGTACTTGAACACTTCAGGCACTCAGTTGTCATGACAGCCCAGCACCCGAGGGGATGTTCATCAACTGTATCTGAGAAGGGACAAATAAACAAAAGCAAGCATTCAACACAGTATGGTTGCTAAGAAACTTTACTACCAAAATGTTTTTGAGTATACTGTCTTCTGGTTTATTTGATCTGGCTAGACATTTGTTTGCCACTGGAAACATCACATGGGCTCGACTATTCTGAGGCATCTGTCTCTCCACCTCTGAGGAGGTTTTCTGGCTATTCCAAGGACCAGTAATACACATCCTCTCCCTATTACTTTGTTCTATTCTTTGTGAAGGCTTGGCCTCTAACAAGTAAAGTTCACTTACATAGTGACACTACAGACCAAAGACAATGTTATAGTAGAGTATAGGACACCTTTGAAGAGCAAGTTCACTCATGTCTGTAAACCATTAGATTACATGTTTACAGTTTAAAGATCTTAAATTTGAAATTAGGTATATATGAAAATATGCACTTTTCTGGAAATTGCAGACAGTACTTCCATATTTAAGACAAAGTTGCTACCCCATAATGCTTCAGTTAAACGTATGCACATCTGCATATGCTGATAAAATCCATACAGATACATGTATGTTTGGACTGCACTAGGAAGGCCAAACATACAGTGTAAATTAAAAATTTTAATCGGTTCAGATTTTATAAAAACAAAACAAACATTTAGTTAGTTCTGTGCCAAAGACCCACAGGACAGTTCCTCTTTAAATTAATATATTGTTTTCGTACTACAGTATCTTAGTGATATGTTCTTAGACTGAACATTAGGTTTTTCACAAAAAATCTGAACCATCTATTCTTCACTTGGAGTTGCTTAAAAGTAGTCTCTTTAAATAGCCTAGTTTTAAGGTAGGAGTTCAACACCAGGAGGTTAACCCCAATAGAGACCAGACCGCTTTTCAATTTTCTTACCATTAAGGACCAGGGCTGTTTTAAAATTTCTGCAGTGTTTGTGTTTAGCTGTAATTTTCCTCTTACTCATTTACTGTACCCACACATATTATATACTGGTTTCCTGGCCATTAAATGGTCTTTCTAGAGATATCATTATTTTTGTCATATCATATAATTTACTATAAAATATTATAAAATATTATGAAAAAGTTTTTTTTTTAAAAATACACTTTTTCTAACTTTGACCCCTAAAAATCTGTTACGCATCTACAACTGCCAAAAAACACCCTTGATAAATAGTTTCAAAATTTAGAAATACCCAATGTTAACCTGTTCTTAGCTTTTTTTTTGCAAGTTATAGGGCAATACGTACAAGTAGCACTTTGCTATTTCTTTCTTTTTTTCATTTTTATTTTTCGTGCATAGTTAGAGTCAATACGCAAATCAAGCATACAAGATATCAAGAGAATACATTCAGGTGGTTTGTACATAGAAAACTGAAACTTGGCAGGCATGTATGACAGCTATCGATGAGTTGGGGCACATTTTTCTGGTTTCTAAGGACAGGTGAGGTTGCAAACCTAGGATTAGCTCAATGTGCGTCATGGGAGAGGGTTTTAACCATGTGCCCGGGATACTCCACGCTGGGGTTTGACAGGATTCGTGGGTGTTCCAGTGAGGGTGAGTTTGAATGTATAGGGTGAGTTATGTGGCTTACTGAAGCATGTGTGAGTTCAGGATGCCAATATTGTTTGTGCCTTATGGCTAATGAGCCTTCTAATCATGTGTCAATATGGTAGTTAGCTATAAGCCCCACATCGACAGTGAGAGAATAGGCATCCGTGTTGGTTACCCCTAGCGGGGGGGGGGGGAGTGGAGGTGGGTACTTAAGCGACATCTCGCCGAAGGAGGCTTCTGGTTTGTGGTCATGGTGGTTATTGAGATATCACGCTGGATTGTACAAGCTGTGAGTGAGCTAGCATCCGCTCAGGTTGGTTGGCAAGCTCCACCCCACTTTGCTATTTCCAAACCTTTTTTTTCAAAATTAACGCAAGTTACATTGTAACACTGATATCTGTCAGGGCCCTGAATAACCCTTCACATGTATATATATATTTTAAAAGAAGACATCCTAAAGTATTAAACTTGGGGTATTTTGACTCTTTTCATGCTCTTTTCATGCAAAGATTTTACCAACAATCTATGGCAAATTAAAAAAAAAATTACAATTGGTAATTTTTTTGACACATAGAGCAATTTAAGAATACATGTAATGAGAACTTTAAGGGTTACTGCCAAAGAACACCCCAATATGTGTTCAGCAACATCTCCTGAGTACAGTGATACCACTCATGTATAGGTGTGTCGTATTCTCTGGGGGCGAAAGACCTTACTTGGAGGGTGCGCATTCCAGCTTTCCATCTTGGAATTTTCACAGCTGGTCATCATGCACCCATGTCCTATTTGGGACATTTTTGAAGCCGGCCAATGTAATTTACCCCCCATCAAACCACATTTTTTTGAAAAGTAGACACCCTAGGGTATTTCAAATGGTGATATTTTCAATTTTTTTTTAACACTTTCCATGCACTAATTCTACCACCAGTCTTTGTCAAACTTTTGGATAGTCATTTTTTTGTGTCATTATTCTCTCACATTGTACTTTCGGCATGGATTATCAGTTCCTGTTATGTGTTACTGACAAAGAACACCCCAATATGTGTTCAACAACATCTCCTGAGTACTACAGTTCCCCCAATGTACAGGTTTTATGGGTTTGCGCAAACTTGTAGGGGTCAAATGTAGGGCTTTCCCCTTTTCTATGTTTGCACATTAAAAATTGCCAGATTGGTTTGCTGGGCCTCATGGGCATAGGACGCATCCCCCCCCAGCAAGTCATGCGGGGGGGAGACAGGTTATGGGGAAATCCCCCCCAGCTCTGCCGGCCCCCCTCATGCTGCAGCCACCCGAGCGCTCTGTAGAGAGCCTCAGGCGGTTGCAGCTTTGCCCGCCCGGGCACAGCATGGGGAGAGGGGCTGACAGGAGGGAGCACTCAGCGCTCAGCGCTCCCTCCTGTCACTCCCTCTGTTGTAGCGTGGCCGAGCCCTGTATCATGGTCCGCGGATACAGGGAGCATCTGTCTCCTGTACCCGGCAGGACTAACAGGAAGTACATACTGAGTGTTCACTTCCTTTTAGTCCGGCCGGGTACAGGAAACAAAAGCTCCCTGTACCCGCGGACCATGATACAGGGCTCGGCCACGCTACAACAGTGGTAGGGGGGGAAGGGAGAAAGAGAGTCACAAGAGAGGGAGGGAGGGGGAGAAAGAGAGTGACAAGGGAGGGAGGGAGAGAGGGGGAGAAAAAGACAAGGGAGGGAGAAAGAGTGACAAGGGAGGGAGGGAGAAAAGAGTGACAAGGGAGGGAGGGAGGGGAGAAAGAGAGTGACAAGGGATAGAGAGAGAGAGTGACAAGGAGGGAGAGAAAGAGTGACAAGGGAGGGGGAGAAAGAGAGACAAGGGAGGGAGAAATAGAGGACAAGGGAGGGAGGAAGGGAGGGAGAAAGAGAGTGACGAGGGAGGGAGGGAGGGAGGAAGGGGAGAAAGAGAGTGACAAGGAGGGGGAGAAAGAGAGTGACAAGGGAGGGGGAGAAAGAGAGTGACAAGGGAGGGAGGGGGAGAAAGAGAGTGACAAGGGAGTGAGGGAGGGGGGGAGGGAGGGGGAGAAAGAGAGTGACAAGGGAGGGAGAGAGATTGACATCCATCACACACACACACACACACAATCTCACAATCATGCAAACCTTACACACACAGAAACACACAATGCATTATTACACACACTAAATGCACCCCGTACACACACTCAATGCACCCCTTACAGACGCACACGCTGCATCCCGTACATACACAGAAACACACCTTGCAGCCCTTACACATACAAACACAGATTCACACAATGCATTCCTTACACACATATCAGGACATCCCCTACACACTCCACCCCCTGTGAACAAACTCATTGGTGGAACATGAAGGTGGACCCTGGGACCCAGACCTTGAGCTGTGTAAAGGGCGCCCAAAAAATGGAGCTGCTTCCCGTTCTCCCAGAACATTGATTTTTGTGACCACAGTTACAAACAGCCTCCAGAGAGCCTGTTCTACACCAGACCAGTGGAGCCAGACTGCAGCTAGAGCCCATCATCATCCTCATCTGGTTGTAAGTAGGCAATCTAGCATATTATTCGTGGCACTAATCTCTAATTTACCTCACATTAAAGAAACAGTATAGTCCCCAGAACCACTGCAGCTTAATGTAGTGGTTCTGGTGTCTATAGCCTGTCCCTGCAGGCCTTTTAATGTAAACACGGCGGCACTCCAGCACTGGCGTTAGTTAATATGGCAGATCATATGGGTGCGGCATTGTGATGTCACATGGGGGGGTGAGGCGGCAAACTTTACTTTTGCCTATGTCGGCAAAAATCCTTGCACCGGCCCTGGCCGAGTGTCACGTGACTACCTGGCGCTCAGTCTGACACTGCACCTGCCAGACGTCTGGTTCACCATCAGGTAAAAGGGGGGGACAAAGGTAGAAAAATAATTGGAAGGGTTTAGGGGGTCTACTAATATAGATGGGGGAGGGGTAGGTAGAAAAATAATTGGAAAGGGTTAGGGGGGCTACTAATAGGGATAGGGGGAGAGGGGTAGGTAGAAATATAATTGGAAGGGTTTAGGGGGGCTACTAAAATGGATGGGAGGAGGGGGAGGTAGAAAAATTATTGGAAGGGGTTAGGGGAGTACTAATATGAATGGAAGGGGTAGGGTGGGTTCTAATATGCATGGAAGGGGTTAGGGGGTACTAATATGCATGGAAGGGGTTAGGGGGGTACTAATATACATGGACGGGGTAGGGGGGTTAATGCATGGAAGGGGTAGGTGGGGTTCTTTTGTGCATGGAAGGGGTAGGGGTGGTTCTAATATTCATGGGAGGGGTAGGGGTGGTTCTAATATTCATGGAAGGGGTAGGTGGGGTTCTAATATAAATGGAAGGGGTAGAGACGGGTAGTAAAATGTATGGAATGCATTTCTGACAGTGTCACTGAATGGCAGTTAGGAAATGTGGTCACCCTAAGTCAGGGGCAGTATTACACAATCTGTATAAGTATAAAAAAATATAAAAATTAATCTGCAAAGTACAAAATGTTTGTGTCATATGTCGTGCTAAAAATTAAGCTAGGAATGTGCATATTTTTTTCTTTTTTTAAAATAATTTTTAGAATAATGATACAGACATTTTATTTCTTACATTTGTGATGATTCTTTTTTCCTCTCTATATTCAAGGGACACTAAACTCACCAGAACCACAACAGCTAAACGTAGTAGTTCTGGTGTCTATAGCATGTCTTTGCAGGCTTTTTAATGTAAGCACTGCCATTTCGTAAAAAGGCAGTATTTACATTACTGATGAGGAATACCTCTAGTGGACACTCAGATGGCCACTAGAGGTGCTTCCTAGTCGAGACATGAATGCC